CCCAGGCAAAACCAAGTGATTGTGATAGAGGTAAGTTATTGTGATAGAGGTAAACGAAGTAAAAATAAACCGGATGGTTAAGGGGACTCCGGATTTCTCACTTTTACACTGGGTCTATCTGTAACTCGAGGGCTCTCTGATGGGTGCAGTTCCAACAAACCCATTTGGTGCTGGAATACAGAACAATGTTTAAAGTGGGAAAAGTTCATTTAAGTGCACAGGATCCCTGGCTGTAGATATTAAAAAGGGGTCTCTCTATGTAGATATTAAAAAGCACATTCACAATGGTTTTACCAACAGTTAAAGTAATGGTTTAATAGTTAAATGTTTTCTTTCTACAGAAATTGCTAGATCACACAAGGCTAACACACAATGCACATTCATGACAGAATGGACTTTGTATGTTCTGTGGAAATGGAGGGGCTGGTACCATGTTTTCATTTTTGCAGGGATGGTTTTGTTTTGCTTTTTAAATCATGACTTAATTTAAATCTTCAAAGAAGTTCTTGGGTAGAAAGTCACTATTATTCACATTTTAAGTGCAGGCCACACAATTTGGTGAGATAAATCTGTGAGAAATTCTCAAAGATGAATCACACGTTTAGGGAAGAATCTGGCCCACAGACTTCCTCTAATTAAATGGCTGTCTAATAAAATACTGTCGATAGTATCCAGATGACTGGTAAAGGAGCTGCCACAATTCACTGCAAGCTCTGGAACTCATTAAATGCATTTCTTCATGCTAAAAGAATTTCTTGACTCTTTACTTTGCCCTTAACAAGCAACAGCAAAGGCAACCTCAAAAGGGTCCGTAATTTACACATTTGGAAATAATATCCAACAAAAGGCATTAATGTAAGTAGGCTGGGAGGAGCTGAGTGTGAATTCCTAGATGGGCTTTGTACGGCTGTGTGGGTTTTGTTCTTGATCCCCAGCCTGAAGATGTCATTTCTCAAGACCGCAGAGAGCCTGAAGGCCTGGGAGATCAGCACACTGGCTGTTGTCTTACGAAGACCGGTGGACAGGTCTAGGAAACTCTGGGTCACCAGTCTCTCTCTCTGCTTCCTATTGTTCACACCCAACCCTGTCTCTGGCCTTCCCATCCCCTTTGGTTCAACTTCATGCAGGGCCAGCCTTCTTAAGCTACACTCCGGCTCTGCAGGCCCAAGAGAGATGGGGACAGGAGCCTCCCAAAGCCAGAGCATGGCAGGTGCACTGGGAAGGGGTGTTGGCTTTTCCTGAGCTGTGCACAGCGACAGCGGGGAGATCATGTCTCTGCAGCACACTTGGCCTGCCAGGCTCAAAGCATGCGTGCATTTACCACCCAACCTACATTCTGGAATATTTATTAACGGAGGACAAGATTCCCTAGAGACAAGGGAATATACTCGACACATCAGGATATGTGGCCCCGGGACAAACTATGCCTCCACTCTTAAGCACTACTAATTACAATGGGATTGTTGCTTTCACAAACTCTGGTCAAGAAACTGAGAAACTGAGCTGCTTAGCTGGTACAAAACCAATAGGGAAATAGGTGCAACTCTAAAAGTGGTGACTCTTGTCAACATAAAACTGAGTACACAATGATTGATCAATTGCTTTTAAAACACATTATATAAAATCACTTCTGTAGGAAAAAGCAAAACAAAACAACTGCTGGAGCATGTTTTGCTTTGGAGGCTTCTAGTTGATGAGTCATGTTATATCTATGTAAGTTATAACTAGCACTCATTCATATCTTATTTATCAGACCATAGTATAAGTAGAGGTAAAAAGAAAATTCATTTGAACAAACCACCTTCACAATTAGCAGGATTTCATACTTCACTCAACTGAACACAGATTGGATGAAGCTTTTGTACAGCAAGTTGATATCTTTTTCTAAGTCTAAGCAGAATATGCAAAGTGTTGTAACTGCAAAAACAAAAAACCCACAATTTTTTTAAAAAGTACTTTTTCCGATCTGTTATGGCTTGTTACTGCTTAAATCAAGTCTATGTGATCCCTACTCCTCACATTTGATCTTACTTATTAATTCATAGTCTCCAAAATTAAAATGTAGATTCTAAAAGATCCAACTGTACCAACATACCACATAGAGTAAAAAGCTGAAATCTAATGACCCAAGATTATAGTTTCAGCTTTGTTATGAAATAGCTATATTACTATGCAAAGTCACTTCACTTCACCAGAAGAAGTCTTCTCACTCATAACAAAGGTTTGCCTTAGATTTCTAATGTCGCCTTCTGGGTTTAAAATTCTGTGACACTGCTGTGTATATCAATCTAAAGCAAGACGTACATAGACTACTTCAATGAGCAACTTTCAAAAACTATGCAATCATCCATCAGTTTGATTCACCGGTCATGCACTGAATCAAACGATTAGGAAAGTAAGACAAAAATGCCTGTATACAAATGGCTTAATCATCAGAATCTTTAAAATCAACTTTTGACATTCACGTGGACAGTCACTTGTGAGCCACAAGGCAAGTGGCCACTTCCGTTTGTTATGTCTGCTGCCAAATTCTACTCCGTCTCCTAAACACGCCTAACTTTCCCTGTGCTGTCGAAGTCACAGGACGAGTCTCCTAAGGGCACCGGCATGGCAGCACGTCAGGGACGTATCAGTTACAACCCTTCTCAGTAACCCTTCTTCTGTAGTTGTTTCAGACCTAAAAAATTTAATTTATCTTTTTAAAAAAAGTATCAAAGATGGCAAAGTATGGACAAGTCATTAAAAAAAAAGAATTTCCTTTGTGATGCTTTCCATACACTTAGCTCACACTTCCAACACATTCCACCGGATTCTACAAGGCAAGCAGGTCTGGTTGGGAAGTGACCCTGGCTGCCCAGTTGGAACCTAGACCAATAGATGGACATCTCTAGGGTCAGCGTCAGGCATCACTAATTTTGACAATGGCTCAGGTGACTCCAACGTGCAGCCCAAAACCGACACACAAAGTGAGTTAAAACCAGGCTCTGATCTATGGTACCGGAGTGCTAGGTGACAGGCACAAGAGAGGTGAGCAAAGTTTTAAAAGATACCTATGTTCTCTGTGAATGTTCAGAGAAACATTTGCAAGTCGCTGCTCCCAGCAGAGGACTCTGGTCACGAGAATGTGCACAAAGGCCATGCCAGGCCAATGACGCTACAGAGTGGTCCTCTGTGCGGGGCGTGATGGACAGGCAGGTGTTTAGCCAGCTGACCGACTGGTAACAGCAGCACCTACTGTGAGGCGATTTCCCCTGCAAGGCCACTCAACGGCATTTCTTCTCCAAGGAGCTCTGAGAGCCACAACGATGACTTCTTTAAACAGAACTGACAACTGGACCCACCAAGGCAAATCCAAACCACACCAGCTGTCCCAAGTCCATTTCCATCCACGGAGACCTGACAAGCTTTAGAACATAGCATAGAAAGCCCAGAATGCAGAAATAACCCCAGATTCTTCACATTAAAATATTCATTGCTCTTGACTAAGATTTTACCTACTCAATCTGAACTAGCAAGCAACTTACATCTGGCCTTAAACTTTGTCCGCTCCTCACTTTGAGGCACAGAAAAGCAGCCCTCCTTTGAAAGGGAGGGGAGAGGAAAGCCAAGGTGCCTTTTCTGTGATCTCAGTGGCACTTTAAACACTCAAAACCAAAGGGAGGGAAATCTGTACACATAACTGAACATGCACGGGAGGTTGCCATAGAAATATAACACACTATACACATGGCCACATTCGCCATGAAGAAATGCTTCCTAGCCTTTGACCAGTAAGATATACAAGCTCCTGGTAACGTGTCCTTGGACTTGCTGTTTATCTTGTCCACTTTTTCTGGAAAGCAAGCCACTTACGTGAAGTTTTGCTTCTTAGTAGTTTTAGAAGTCAGGCATGCCTCCTCCAAACATACACCTGTCCAAAACTTCCTCTAACAAACGCTCACTAAAAATTAACAAGTCACCAGGACAGATCACCTCTACTGCGACTCTGGGCTCAGGACCCCAGGATACCAACAGCTGACCACTTGCCTTCCAGCCTCCTCAGTCCTCCTCTTCCTCCTCCCTCAAACGCAGGCCACCCGAGGGTATCTGATTTCTTGTAACAGAAGGGGAGCCCAGCAGTGCTAGGTGACCGAAGGCCGGGGGCTGCCCTGAGGGGTTCACCACGGCAGAGTCCGAATCACTGGATTCAGTGTCACTGCTGGTGCAACCCTCAGTCATTTGCAGGGGAGCCAGCTGGCCCGCCATGCCACTGGAGCCCACCAGGGGCACCTTTGAGGGGGTTCCTGCCAGTGGTGCACCATTGGCTAGCATTCTGCCTTCAGAAGCAGCCATGCTGGCCAGCTCTCCCTGTGCGTGGTCATCCAGCCTGTCCAAGGGCTCTGGGGTGGGTGCTACCTGGCTCAGGATGAGTGGGTCTGTCTCTGACTTATTGTACCTACTAGGAAGGTTGCGCAAATACGGCCTTTGCAAGATGGGGGAGTAGCTCTCATTGGGAGGATCCCGGTTTGGGAGAGTATCTTCTCCTATGCTCTTCTCTCTAAGCTCAAGTCCGTTTTCTGAAACATAGCCTTGGGACCCTGTCCTGTCCCAACTCATATTTGGACTTGAACTTCTGCTGCTGGGGGACAGAGGGGTGGCTACGGGGCTGTGACCAGCTGAGGCCCTGAACATTTCATCTATCAGGGAGCTATGTCTCGGGAGTCCAGGGCTCCCACTCATATCAAAGGTGATGTCGGCCGAATCATCATCAAGAAACTCTCTGGAAGGAGGCCGGGAAGACTTGGCAGAGGGAGGGGAAGCCCTATGCCTAGCCTCTGCTCGCCTCTCATCCCCGGAGAGCAGATAAACACCACTGGTCAAATCACCCTCATAATTGTCATTTGTTTGGGACTGTGACTGGGACGCTTGTTCTCTGAGAAGGTCGTATTCACTATCTACATCACTGCAGTCAATGAAAGGAATGGAAGTACTGCTGCCTCTAGCAGCCCGGGATGCTGGACCTGTGCTTGGCTGCGGGGGCTGAGGCTTGCTGGGCTGGACCCGGTCCTTGACGCCCTCCTCCTCATCCTCTTCCTCCCGTGGCACCCGAGTGGCTCCGTCTGCCAGTGTGCTCCCCGGAGGGCTCTTCTTCAGAGCGGGGTTCTGGTGGGACCCCAGCTCTTCAGCAGAAACTTTCAGTTCCTTTCCTTGCTGGCAGCTCCGGCCACCGGGCGATGGGGCATCTTCTCCAAATGTAAGGCTGGCACTCTTCGGAGACTGGGCGGAGAGGGAAATGAAGAGGAACGGTAGACTGTTAGATTAGAGCTAAAAATGGCAGACACAACATAATTACATCTCCTGAGGCTTCCAGCGGCTGAAACGGCTGTGAGGGACAGGTTGCTCTACTCTCTCGGGGCAAGAAAGACACACTCCCACCGAAGTCAGTTTGTTATGTTCCAGAAGGTTCTTCAGGATGAGGAGGCTGAGGAGCACAAGTGAGCCACCATCTTTGCTTCTAAGACCTCAGTTTCAGATTGGGTTTCCACAGTCATGGAATGAGACAGCCCTTCCATTTTATGAGGGTTTCCCAAGCAAGGGGAGGCGGGGACAGAAGGATACAGCCTTCAGAGAGATGCTGACCACCTTCTCCCCTTGTACTTCGGAGGATAGCCTAGAAGTTCTCTATTTGGATCTGCACAAACTGCTTCCATGTTTTCCCTCCAAAAAGCCCTCATTCTCTTTGACAGAAAACCCTGAAAATATACCCAGAGACCAACACTGGGGAACATGAGCTCCCGCCACCCTCAGAGCAAGAGTGATAATAATGTCTCTTGCTGCCAGTTGTGGCCACTACCCTGTAACGTGAGCCCTGGGAACGCAATGCCAGCTCTGCACCGGCAAAGGCTTCCGACGTGGCAACAAGCTGGAGATACACCCATCAGTGGCAAAGCAGGTCCCCATGGCTTCCCACAAGCACCCACTTAGCTGGCTCCAGGGGACACTTCTATCCCTACGCTGGGTTCAGGTCCAAAAAGAGAACTTCACAGGGGCTCAGAACATGGATGAGCAGCTGAAGATAGGCCATACTCCAGGGCCTGCTGTGCCCAGGCTGGGAACAGAGGACAAAGCCTCTACACCAGGCTCTCAATTGTTCACATCCCCAGGTAGAGATGAAGGATAGGAAGGCAGACTGTAAAGGCCAGAGCTCAGTGGCAGAAGTCGGTGAACAGAACTGTGAGTCACCACTCCTGACCTGTTTTGGCACTTCTGAATTTGGTTCTGTAGGCTGCATGGCAAGGCTCCTGACGGAATGAATCTTGCTGTGTTTTCTGGAAGAAATCATACAAGAGAATGAAAGTTAAGAGTTTTGTTTTTAAACGAAATGAAAGAGCCTCTGGCTTGTTTCTTTCTTTTATTTCTTTCTATACTGGGGACTGAACGCAGGGCCTCTCCAGTGAGCTACATCCCCAACCCTTTTTATTCTGAGACAGGGTCTCTCTAAATTGTTAAGTTGCCAAAGGACTTTTACAAATGTGACCGGGTAGGACATGCACGGCCATCCTTTTCTAACACTGGCATGGTCCAGGGGTTGTGCACATCCTGAAGAAGCTCTTTTCAGTTCCTGGTTCCAGACGCAAAAGGAGCACGTACAGTTGAGCAGTCGCGCCTAGGTGTGAGGAAATTCACGAGGCAGAGGGGCTGCTGGGCCTTCAGAGGCCGAACTCCAAGCTGTGGCAACATGGAATCACTCCAGGTCTCTGGACACGGGTTTTCTAGATCTGTTTTATAACAGAGTGATTGCCACTCATCAGCTCACTCTTCCAAAGTGTTAAGTTCAGGGGAAAGAGTTTCCCTATCCAAGAATCTAAAGACTCAGCTGTGGAGAGAAGAGACAAACACAGCTCCTGTATCTTTTCCCCTTCTTGGTGGCCCCTCACTTTCCTGTTTCCCACGAACAGGCATTAGAAACTTTTCAAATACTTAGTTCGTGTAGTAGTATAAATACATAGAGATTACATTCCAAAGTCCATCAGCTTTGCTTCTCAAATTCACACAGAAAATATTCATATTCAGAATCAGAGATAGCTGGCCACCTCTTACAAGGTCCTCAAAATACTAATTGCTAAGCATCCAAGTAAAGTACGGGGTTGTCGCTAGGTACATAAGCAAAAGCCCCCTGAAAGTTACATTTCTAGATAGAGGAAATGAGAAACCGTCAGTTTTGACTCAGGTTTGTTGCAGCAAAATCATAATAAATTACTGAAATAATGTGACTGTTTATCAATGGGGAACGAGAGGAATAAAATACAACATTCCATAACACTACAGGACACTTCAAATAGGTGTCAAAAAACAGGGTAGGGTTAAAAAAAAAGATGCAGAACCATGTGCAGTATGCTGGTGTTTCTATGAACTAAAAATGCACATGCAATTCTCTGTACTCTTCTAGGATGTGTGAGCGGGAACATAAATCTGATGGCTGCCTCCGGAGGAGAGAGAGAAAGAAGAAAGGCTATGGTTCAAAGGTGGTTTAGCCATTTCTGTAGCCACCAACAAAGGAAGAAAAAGAACACCAGAAACAAGCCTGCTGAGATGTTAAGGCAGGTTGGCAATCCTTTATCTCAAACGCTTTGGATCAGAAGTGTTTTAGAGTTTGGATTTCGGAATATACAGAATAAGATATGTAGAGGTGGCACCCACATTAAATGTGAAATTCATTTATGTTTCATACTTCTTATGCACATAGACTCTCTGTGCTACTGTGACTTTTGAATGTCTTATAATGAAAAAAAAAAAGAAGAAGAAAAGAAAGAAACCAATGCACTCAGCAACCCTGGGTCAGCCTTTCCTCCTTTACCCATCATCTGAGTCCCTCTTGGGTGACAGATCAGTGCTGCAGGGTACTAGTTTTGGACCCCGCTGGCCAGTGGTCACTCACTACTGAGGAGACCAGGGGACTACTTCGGTCATCTCCTGGAGCCTCAGGGTCCCCCAGGTTTCACGAAGGAATAAAAGAACCCTGATTGCAAGGAGGCGATGTAAAGAGTTAAAACGATCAGGTTGTTTGCTAGCAACAACAGTAATAGTGATAAACCCTGTTTCTTCTCACCTGGACCTTACCAGATAAAAAAGTTTACAGTAACACTTTCTAATCAGGTCCCCAAATATTTAAAGACTCACAGTTGAGTAGCTGTCCCTACGGCCCAGGCAGCCTCAGCGCCCTTCTCCTCGCTCTTCCAGGCTTTTCCTCTCTTCCGTCTCCCTCTTGCCCCAGGGACCCGCAATGGTTTTTTCTCCCACGCTTGCTGGGGTTGACTGTGAAGCCTGAACTCTGTTGCTCGGTAGACCGTGAGCGTGGGTGAAGAACCATTTATAGCACCAGTGGAGGTTCCTGGGGTGGGTGGAGCTAGCCGTGAAGCTCTGCTTACCTTTCTTCCCCCCCCCCCAACACGGGCCCTTGCACTTGCGAGGCAGGCACGGGAACCACTGAGCTAAATCTCCGGCCCCTCCCACTTACCTTTCAAACTGCACTTTCTTGTGTCCTCCTTCCTTAACGTAGTCGAGAACCTGCTTTGCTCTGCTTACCTTTCTCCCCCCCCCCCCAACACGGGCCCTTGCACTTGCGAGGCAGGCACGGGAACCACTGAGCTAAATCTCCGGCCCCTCCCACTTACCTTTCAAACTGCACTTTCTTGTGTCCTCCTTCCTTAACGTAGTCGAGAACCTGCTTCTGAGTCCGACCGCTGCAGCGAAGACCACAAAGGAAAGGGAAAAGACACCGAGACATTCTCATTTAAACACAAACACAACACGTCATCTTTACATCCTCTCCTGCCACACCTAGGAGATGCGCTAGTCTTCTGTTAGCGAGGAACAAAAGCAATCCTAAGAGAACCAGTGTTCATGCGCCTGTTCGATCTCTTGCTATTTCCCTTGTATATAAGAAGAATGTTCAGTTAACCAAACGCACTTAAGAACAGTGATTGGTTATGAAGCAACCATCCCATGAGTCTGTGCCTTTTGTGAAAGTAGGGGCAATTTGGTAAAGTTAGATTCTCAAGGCCTACCACAGTATTTGACATGTGGTACACTCCGGTATTTATTGAAAAGCGAATGGAGAAACTGAACTAAGACTTGATGGGTAAGTCTGCCTATCAGTCTAGGAATAACAGCAAGTGTAAATAAGACACTTCTGCTTCTACAGAGAAAGGAAATCCTTTCTGCATTAGAACACTGAGTTAGGAGTTCCTGAGGCTGGGTAGCTTGCCAGATGGCCCAAAAGGGTGATCCCAGGAGCCAGCTGAGTGACCAAGCCTCCAGCCAACTTCCAATGAGTGTTTGTCTCACTGACTTCCTGTATGTCACAGCAGTTATGATAGGTGTTAAGGAAAGTCACAGAAAAGAATGCTCACATCATAAGCAAATGGGGTGGATTGGCGCCCTTACCTGAACCGAAATGATGACCCTCGACTAAATAGAACAGGCTTTGGCTTTGGTTTGGGCTCTTCAAAAAGTCTAAAAAAGGCATGATGTTCGACACAGATTTTCCAGAAGGACTTGCAGAAATCCCGACTGGCCATTAGGAATTCCAAGGTATCCTGGTATGAGCTCTAAAAAGAGAAGATACTTTGATGGTTTTTTTTCCCCACTGCTCACAGACATTCTGTTGAAATATGAAGAGGGGTAGAAATGAATTTGTCCAATAATATTTCAGTTATGTATTTTATTAGAGCAAGACCACGAACGCAAGGATTTAGTAAAATATAGTTGTTCCTAATGATAGGTTGTAGTCACTCTTCAACCATCTTCTTCCCCACAGAATTCCTCACAGAAATGGAAAACAGTGATACAGACTGAGCATGAATGACACCACTTGACAGAAGTCATAAACAAATTATGTTTACTTGGCTTACACTTCCTTCACAAGAAGAAAATCCAAGTATTAAAATCTTTATTCCTGCCTGTTTAAAATAGCAGAAACACATTTCTTCTTTCTGTTTTCTGCCTCATGGTTCTAATCAACACTGACTTTTCTCATCATGTCTCTGGAACCCAGCACACGCCTCAAGCCTCCAGGTGGCCCCAGAAACTATACAGGAAATGCAACTTATTTCTGGAGAGCAAAGGTATTACCACCAGCTGAAAAATTTGTGTCGTTTGACTCTGGAAAGAGAATATGGTGATTTTCTACTCCCACACAGGACACTGCCGATTTCAGTGGCCATATTACATAAACAGAAGTTACCACAGTCCTTCACATTCCTGGCATTTCACAACTATTTTAGAGGATGGATTTCAGTTTGGGGCAGACCCAATGTACAGACATGTGCGGTGGCTCTGTCTTTGCAAGTCAGCTTTCTGGACTCAAAATGCATTGTCTCACAGAGAACCATTTTTAATGGTGTTGGCTTCCCAGTCAGGCTGTGGAGGCCTACCTGAACCTTGTTGGAGCTAAACTATAACCTAGGCTGCTATTGGTCACTTTTTTTTGGTATCGCACAGGAAGAAGGACTCCTAAGTCCCGGCTGGGGACAGACACCACTTCCTCCAAGGCCATTTCAGACAAAGAAGATGCTATCTATCCTCTCTTTCCAACTCTGACCCCACAGAGAGGCCAACACAGTTAGGTGTTCTGTGGGAAACGGGGAAGACCTAGGGAGTCTGTGAGAATGAGCTCTGTCTGTGATGTGGGCATGACAGCGCTCATGAGAGGTGGGGATTCTTCTGGTAGGCAGGGCTATGCCTGCATCAGGGCAGAATGTGGGCTAGGTTTTGAAGTGGGGACAAGGGCTGGACACACAGCAACAGCTCAGTTGCTTGTTATTTCCTTCCATGAAGACTATTTAGTAAATGACCCTGTCCCCAGATATACATCTGTGCATACTCCTGACCCTCTCTGGGTACCATGGGTTACCAAGCATTTGGATATGGTTATCTACACAGACACCACAGTTCATCTTTTTTTTTTTTTTGGTACTGGGGATCAAACTCGGGTCCTTGCGCTTTCAAGGCAGGTGGTGGAACCACTGAGCTAAATCCCTGGCCCACAAGTAGCAGCTAGCCACAGCTTCCGGGCAAGCCCTGCCGAGCACTGCCCTCAACTACTGGTCTCCTCCAGCCCGAGCCACTTACGTTCACATCGGGGCGGAGCTTGATGAGAAAGCGCTTCCTCTTGAAGCTCAGCTTCCGCACCTTGGCCCAGTTGAAGGCGTTGATCTTGGTGAAACCCTAAGAGGAAAGAGCAACCCGTGAGCCAGGTTGTGCGTAACAAGCAGCCCAGGGGCTGGCGTTCGACTGCTCAGGAAAGATGCCTTCAGCTGCAGCACTCAGATCTGTGGCTATCGGGCGATCCACATTCCTGGATCATTATTTCTCACTCATTACATGACCTGGTGTTCAAACTAAGTCTACTTCCAGGAGAGGAGGAGCTGATCAAGATAATGATAAAAGGACAAATAAGAATACACCCATGACAACCACCTCACTAACTAGCAGCCATCCCTCTTGGAGTAGCAGGCACAGTCCTAAGGGCTTTATATCCCTTAATCTTATCAAACCTCATAGGAAATCCAGCGACAGCCAGGGCAACATGGCTGTATTTTATTTTGCCTCAGTGTTAATGTGGCAGGGAGAGCCATGTGTAGCCTTCACAAGCAGCCAGTGTTAATATACAGCACGAACAACAGGCCACTTGTCCACAGCACTCACACTGCGGGGTCCAGCCAGTTTCCCGCAGAATCACAGGGCCGAGGAAGAAAGCGTGGTCAACCATGGCCTCTGCGAGGGACGCACACAGTGGCTTTAGACAGGTGGGATGTGGGGGAGGACCAAGGGTACCTGGTCAGACATGAACTCACACCCTCCCTGACCCCGCCGAAATTAAGATTCCCTTGCAGCGCTGGGAACGCCAGGCGCATTTATTCAATACGGTAGGAAGGAATCCACTTGGCACTGGCAGAAGACAAACTCAAAGACACAGCCTCTGCACATGACTGAAAGGCTGAATCACCATGACTGAATCACCCCACAATGCTCAATATTTAGACTGTATCAAACAGAAGCAAATTAATTCCATTGTGAGACACTTCCCTTCCTTCCGTAAAATGTTTTAGAAATGTTTGAAGTTTGTGATTTTGAAATTTAATAGTGGTAACGAAACTACATTTAGTTTTCTTCTCAGATGCACATGGATTATTTCTGCAGGTCAAAAACTATTAGGAGCAGTCACCTCCTCAAATACCACCCTGCTCTCAGGAGGTCATTTCTGACGTGAAACCCAACTCCAATTCTTCTTGGGATGTGGTTCCAAGGTGTAATAATTAGCATCTGTCACAAACATCTGATGTGTGAATCCAGAACTCCCGCAACTCTTGATAAAACACGGAGAACAGAGCGTAAACACAGCTAGCACAGCTCACGAGGGGCTTTAGGGCAGGCATATTTTACAACTTCAAAACCGGGTGAAATTTGACCCTTTTCATAAGCATAGCAGATGTTTCCTACGTAGCCATTAGAAATGAAAACATGTTACTGCTTGTGTTTAAAAGAAGGGTGTTACGGAAACACTTTGGGGGGCGCGTGCAGTGGTTTAAGCGTGTTCCCCAAACGTTCATGCACCAGAGGCTCAGTCCCTGGTGTGGCGATGTTAAGAGGTGGTGGCATCTTTGAGGTGGGCCTAGTGGGAGGTCCTCAGTGCAGTTCTCTGGAGACCCCAGTCGCTCTTAGGCTTCCTGTCTGCTGATGTGATCACTTCCTTTCCCATGAGCTCCTACCACTGCATCCACCATGAGGGGACACAGCCAGAGGGCCCTGCTTAGAACTACTGCCATGCCGTTCAGGTATTCATTTATTTAATTTTTTTGGTTTTTTGAGACAGGGTCTCACTACGTAGTTGAGACTGACCTGGAATTCACTATGTAGCTCAGGCTGGTCTCGAACTCACAGCGTTCCTCCTGCCTCAGCCTCCCAAGTGCTGGGATTATAGGCGTGCACCACCAAGCCCAGCCCATTCAGATTTTTAGACTGCATAATTGTGAGCTAAATAAACCTCTTTTCTTTGTGTTATCCAGCCTCAGATATATCATACAATAGAAAAGAGATTAATACAAGGGTGGTGAATATTTTCATTATCGTGATCTCACTGATGATTTCAAAAGAAGCTATCAAACATAACATTGTAGAATAATGCAAGTATGTCATTTTAATGAAGCTAGTAAGAGAGGGGCATTGATAAATAAAATGGTCCAACAGGCAGATGATTAAGAGAGCACACATTTTTGAGAGTGGGATTATCATTATGCCCTTGGGTAAAATATAGGTAAGAATTCAAGTACAGTGTTTGTTTCTTCTGCAGATTATTATAGTGCAAGGGTACAGCTTTTATGACTGTATGAAATTGCTCTATCTCCAAAATATGAATCATGCATTATAAATTAGGCATATTTAAAGACCAAGGAAGCTGGTTCAACCCAAATTAGATTTAAAAAAGGATCACATTACAGCAAAATGCCATGTTCCAGTATGAAAAGGTGTTTATTCCGGGGTCCGAAATCTTGATTCCATTATAGTATGTTCTAAGCATGGGCCCACTGAGAAAGACAGGCTTCTGTAGGCCTCCAAAGTCAATAAACACAAATGAATCTGTAATATAGATTTCCCAACCAGGACAAGAGCAAATAAAAAAGAATCTGGAAGCCAAGAGTCTGGAAAACAGAAACCTGAGATGTGGTTACTTGCTCCTGTTCACTTAAAAACGGCGATGAGGTCTCAGCTCGGCCACCCACATACATCAGGGGAAAGAGGCTGTTTTACTCCCTCCCTCCTTCCCCAGCACTCTCACCTGAAACACTAGGATCCCAGTGTTGGCCACGGCCAAGTTGATCTTAGTGCCTTCCCTGTCCTTGGCTGGGTGCAAGCGGATTCCGTACATCTCTAGCCGTCGGGCCACCTCCAGGAGCTGGAAATCTGACTCTGCTGGAGTTTGTCCACTGACAAAGAAAAAGTCAAGAGAAAGGCCAGAGGATTTGAATTCCCCGTGTGTATCTGAGATTCAGTGACTTCTCTTGGGAAATAAAAGGCACTTCATTGTTAACAGTAGGCTCCCAGATCAGATGACACCAAGCCTCCCATTGGGTAAACCCAGAGCCTAGCAGTTAGGACAAAAGCTCTATTGCTCGGGTAACACAAAACCCCAAAAGTCTGTCTCCAACTCGGCCAGATTTTTGGAATCTCAGAGTTTCTTCTAAGGTCACCTAAAAGCAAAACATTGCTGTATTAAACAAATGTTCCGTCCACAGTAACCTCAACCTGCAGACCGAGTTCAAGGCACAATGCTCTTTCCTACTCTTGCCAGGCCTTCGACCAACAAGAAGCTCAGTGAATCTTTGAAAATCTTCTGATCAGAGCACAAACCAAAAAGTGACAACAAAAGGGAGCTACCACAAGGATTCTAGATTTTTACAATATCCTTTGGCTGTGCCTCCATCACTATGTGCCTGGCCCATAGCCCGGTAAGCCGATAACTGGATGGTCCTTGGGTTTTACACTCTTCCTTTTATTCCAAAGCCTCCGTGCCCTATTATTCCAGGCTCATGGGTCTCATAGGAGGCGAGGCCCTGGGTCCTTGTGGATGGGTCACAACATCCCAGGAAGCCTCTATGCTCTTCTTCCCCAACCCCTGGCTTTGTGTATTTCGTCATGGCTATGGGTGTGCAATGTGTGTGAGTTAGTGTGTGTGTGTACGCACATGCACGCACCCATGTACCTCGGGAGGAAGAGGGTAACGCAGCTCAAAGGCAACGTGGAGCCAAGCATGCAACTTACACGTGGTTGTGGTGAAACTCCACGATTTTGTCTTCGAGCGCATCTTGCTGAGGTATGTACTTATTTTTCGCTAAGTGCTCCCTGTCCAACACTTCATCAAAATCCCCAATCTCAGCTACAAAGAAACAGAAGAAGAAAAACAGGTCAAGTAGGATGAAGACTTCGCAGTTTGTTACACTGCCCTGCTAGCAAGCTAGGAGTTTGCAGTCAGTACCAGACAAGCCCCGGTTGGAAGGCTGTCATGAAGAATCCAGGTCAAAGATGGGGATACAAGGGCACAGCACTGTTAACAATTCTAACATAAAACACTCCCACCCCTTCTCACTGCTGATGGCTGGAAAGAAAACTTCACAGTCTTCCATCTTCAGCCATACATGTTCTTGGTATCTGCCTTTATTTGCTTATTATTTTAATATACATGTTGTAATGGATACATATTGTTTGCATATATTTAATGGGTACAGTGAGGCCTTTCAATACGTGTATACAATGTGTAATGATCAGATCAAGGTCTGTGGCATATGGACCACCTCAACATATACCATTTCTTTGCAGTGGCCATTCAGAAATATTCAATCACTGCTGTGCACCACAGCGGATGCTCCTGATCCCACAGAATTCAGAAATTAGCCCGCCTTTCTTTCCTCCCCACTTGCCTGGGGGTGTACCTTCCTTCTCAGCAGTAAGATGAAGCATGTGGGTGATCACTTTATAACTTCTAGACATACCCCGCAGTTGTAGGACTTCACAAAATCATCCTCTGAAACTCTTAAATGTAATAGTGCGGAAGCCAAACCCTCAAAGCCTTTACTGTGGATAGTAAAGAGAGCTGTAATTGGGTATACATGCAGATAATGTTTTCTCAAAAGACTGAAAGGGACTTTATTAGTTTTATATTCCTGTGGTCTGAAATAATGAGTTATACTGTAAAGTCTTACTCAAATGCAATGCACTTGCTTGTGTAACCTCAGCACAGGCCTCCACATTGCTGAATTTAAAACACAGAACTTTAAAAGAAAAAATGGACTTTGGCTTAAAAACAGATGCACAATTTCCCTAAATTCAGGTGACACCTTCCATAAGGGCCCTGAGACACGGTTTGCACTTGGTATCCTACAGTGTAACAAGAGGAACAAAAAGTAGCCTAATGACCAGGGCCCAGGTGTTTTGAGGAAAAGTGAGTGAGCCGTTGCTTTTGTTTTGTCCTGTGCACACTTGGGGCAGTCACCTTCAGCCGTATGCTGCGCGGTGCCATAAATCACAGCCACGGACACTCGCCCTGCGCGAAACAGCGCCATCTCACCTGCCACAGCTGGACCACAGGAGGAATACCTAGCTTCTTCCTGCTAAGACCAGCCACATGCTTGCCCCAACTCGAGTCCCTAACTCGAGTCAAACTGCTGCTCTCCCATCACAGAAAACGTTGCAGAAGTGAGGGACACCTCAGGCACGCCGCCATTCTGTCTATGGTACCCAGACAATGGTGACTTGACTTTTCTGCAATTCTCTCTCTGATCTCAAGAAAGTCCAGGTAACTATGATTTTATAAAGTCACAGTGAAGGCAAAATTTGTGCCTACTGAACTGCCACTCCTAGGGGAAGTTCAGGGTTAGGCTCCTGGAAGACTCTTGAAACAATTTCACTGACTGACTTTTTTATGTGTTTCTGCTGAGAGACGTCTTGTTTAATACACATCATTGATTCTTTCCCACTGAACTCATGGCCAACGCTTGCATGAGACTCATCTAACACACTTAATTTCTTCCTGCGGCACCTCGCGCTGCATGTGGGGACACTAAACAGCCCTTCAGCACCATGCTGTGGGGCCAATTTAAACGCTGAAATCACTAACAATAGCACAAAAATTCCAGAAGCGTGGCAGTAAACAGACCACGGAAAAGGATGCTTGTTAACATCTGAGAGCTGAGCTGTGGCGGCAGAGTCCCTGGCCTCGTCCCATTCAGCTGGGGAAGGGGGTGTCAGGCGGCTCCATTTCTCACCCTCTGCAAATGACCCTCAGGTCAAAGTACCCAAGTACTGATTTGGGCACACATTTTAGTAAATGGATGAATTTACAATTACAGACTTTGAGCACAATGAGGACCTGACGGTGGGGGAAAAAAATCAACTAAATTCTAAGTTTCTTTTATTTTGGGCTTTTTACCACCTATGGATTTGGTGATGCATCTTCCTGTCATCATTCAGTGTAAATGGGTGAAGCATTCTGGCTTCTCCTTTGGTTCCAGGACAACGCATCGAAGTCTCTTTTCTTTTGAATCAGCCTTTCAGTGTGCCCTTCTCAAATGCAATGCAATCTATGATCGAAACTCACTTGCTCCCTAAGCGTTCTACTCCTCTGTAAAATAACTCCAGAGAGAAGTGACAATAGTGGTAATTTTGTGTATGAAGGGTAATGTGCCATATTTAATAACAAATATTAAATGCAAGGGCAGGACAGAGCAAGTTTGGCCTATCTGGCCGCCATCCATCCAAGTTTCTCTTTTGAGACCAGCGAGATATCAAATGCATATTCATCTCTCAATAAAAGAGATGAACACCAGAACACAGAACTCATAATATGTTAACATTTGGGGATGTGTGTGTTCTGTGAATTTAGGAGCGCTATTTTCTCTTCCACCTCGGGCTTTCAAGCTTAACGGCAAAGACAACACATTCTTATGGCTGCTTTTTTTGTGTGTGTGATTTTTTTCTTTTAACAATCAGATCACTGTGTCAGTTCCAACATCCAAGAAAGCTGACAGAACTTACACTGTACGATGTGTGAGACCAACAGCGCGGCGCTGGTGTCATTACACGTCAACCTGCCGTGAGCCAAGTCCTGCTTCACCTGCAGAGCAAACAGGTACCTGCGAAGGCCAAGAGACGGGCGTCACACGGGAGCAGAGGGCCACGTGAGAGGTGGGTTCAATCCTATAACCCACGCACATCGTAGGAAACCAAAAACAGGTGCACAAACCAAGTGACAAGAAGGGCTGCTGCGGGTGCCAGATGTGCTGTTCACTGTGGTCTCATACTCACCACTCCAGAATGACAGAGAACGGCCAGGCATATGTGGTCATCTTTTCACAAATGGCCATTATGTTTCATTTGATAGAGGCAGTCACAAAAGGGTACAACTAATACCCTACAACCGTGTGTGAGTGTGTGTGTGTGTGCGTGTGTGTAACATTTAAAACTTTTTCACAGGATTAGCCAACATACTCTAAAGTGGCTTCATGGCTCAGATAATAATAGCACTTTATTGTTGGTGGCACGAGCTTTGCCAGTGACTCAGGAAGACAAAAATGTCTTTTTTGTAATGTAATATTCACTTTAGCTACCTTCCATAAGCCTTACTTACCAGACCTGCAGAACACAATTTACATTATTTTTAAATTACTATTAGGTAAAGCAAGTCAACGTTTTTTGGTATAAGACAGGGATGGCAAAACTTTTAGAGCTTTCAATCACACATGCAGCCTGCTGTGGCACTTGTGTCATAGGTTCAACACCACTGGTATAAAAGAGATGTTTATGCATCAAAGAAATTAAGTAAAAATCTGTGCAATGTTAAAATGGGTTTGAAAAATCTACACAAACTCATATATTTTTAGAAGGGTACTGTCAAGTTTTGCCCAGTGCCTGGAAACTGTGTCTCCTCCCATAGCAACCCTTAGCAACCAGATTTTGTCCCTCATGCGGTACCCAGTGGAAGGACACAGGTAGGTCCCTGGAATTTCTAACGGGAAGCAAGGCAGCTTTTGAAAATAAGTAAGTTATACCAGAGGGGCAAAAGAAGAACCTTAAAGTGGTCTCACTGGCCAAAGGTTATGACCACTTGAACAATAATAGTAAGAATGATTAAAGTGAATCGAAACATGATGAATTAGTGAAAATCCATGCATCTATAATGATTATGTGAGAGAGAGAATTGAATCTATTACTATTTGTAGAATAGTTAAAGCAATTTCATAATCAAAAAATGGTCACCAAATGTGAACAACTGAGCTTGTAGCCTGCTTCTCTGGTGGGAGACATCTTGGGATTGTCAGGGAGCCCACAGGATGCAGGAGAATGCCAACTTACAACATGGCGGGAACAATGAGATTAGAAAATCTTTGTTTCACAACCTCTAGAGAAATCACTGACTCTAGCAAAGATTGCTCACCGGTAATAATATCACTGAGGAAACTGGAGAGGCACATCGGGTTGAAGGAACAGAACTTTGCAATGGAAAGATCAGAATGTCACCACTGTAAGTGAGTGAGCAGTCTTAGTATCACAATGGAGATGTGGAGTATGTAAAACCACTTAGGACAGACTTCAGCCAAAAATGACTAACTGTATCCATGAAGCCTTTAAAACAAACCCCCAGTTTACAGGAAAATAGAGAAGTTTGAAGAATAAGCTAAATAGTACTATAAGGACGCAGACAGACTCAGGAGGTAGGATATCATGAAGGGAAAAAATGAGAGACTATCCCAAATTTAAAAGGCCCAGGAAATAAGTAGCTGTAATATGCGATCACACAGGGAATCTTACTTCAGAACAAACGGATGTAAATTGACAGCTGGGGGAAAAGTAGTGAGTTTTAAGTACGGCCACGGTGGTAAATGAGATGGAAGGAAACCAAAGAGCAAAACCCAGAAAGGTATCACATTAACATGATATGCAACATGATGCAAGTAAAAATATTAAAATATTTCTTAGTCTTTTATACTCTTTCAATGCTGTTCAGTTACTATCTTTGCAACAACAATTATTTTTCATTTTACTTTTCTGCCATGCTGGGGATGGAACCTAGGGCCCTGTGTGTGCTTGGCAGGCTCTACCACTGAGCTGCACCTTTAGCCCTATTTTTAATTCTAAAAAAAAAGACCATGATATCGACAACTGAAGTTTCCATACACATTGAGTGAGATAACGTGTGGCGAACACAGAGACTAGGACAAAAACATTCAATAAATGCTAGCAGTCTTTCTAAAATAAGAGAGTCACTAATCCTCTTTAAGTCTTTTGGGATGTTCCATTATTAAGAACTGAAAAACAGAGGCCAATTGTATAGGCAGCAAATAAAAACCAAACCAAACCAAAACCACTGCGCTCTATGAGCTGACAAGGGTGACCTTTACCCAACCTCCCTCGGCTTGTTGGTGTTCTCTCTCCCTCACTCACCTAGACTCACTCTCTGGAAAGTCAGAGGGAAGCAGAGTGGAGAATATGAACCGACCCAACCATCCCCTCCAGATCCCAATGTGAGGGGCAGCACAATGCATCTTCCGGATTAGACAGAACCCAACACTTTGCTGACCTAAAAGCTTTAATTCTAATGTGCAGTTGATTTTTCAAATAAGTATGAGAGCTTTGTGTTTTAAAAGCATGACAGTTTGAGTAGTTTCTCACTCCACAGTTCCAACACAGAGCCCTGTGTTTACACGGGAGCACACAGGGGCAGTCACCAACCTAGTCTGTCTTCGGGGACCTTTGATGCCAGTCTCCTGGGGGCTGCGTGGTGACAGTGGGCTCTGGCCATGCACATGGGGACGAGGAGGGCCCATCCTTTCTAAAGTCTTGAGGAAGAGAGTGTCACCCTGATTGTGCTGACTGTCCCTGCTCAGAGGCCCGGGTAACGTGAGAAATACCTTCCTGGTACGGACTGTCACTCTTAGCGACACAGGCTGTAAGCAGAGCGCGCTGGCTGTGATGCTGACTTCAGACTCAGCGACACCTCTGCCACTCTAAACAGAAGCCGATCCAATCGGACGTACAGGAGCGGAAGCTGACTTCAATCTGCTTAATAAAATGAAACTCAGGAACACCCTGAAAACCAAGGGCTCAGAGTGGAATGGACTCTCCCTGGAGAAGGTGGGCCCAAGACTAATGGGAGGGGCTTTACGTAAAGGAGATGGCAAGGCCCGCACCACAGCCATCCGGGGCTTTATGTGCAACACATCTATTTTCATTGACCTCACCAGGGAGGCCTTAATCTCTTTTCTCATTAAATGAAGTGATTTCATTTCCTTGACAGACTAGGGGAATGTCAGCCAGCGTTCCAGAGCAGCAAATCCAGCAGGACGAGCCACTCAAGATAAGCACTCAGCCAGAAGGAACGGACCTGACCGGGCCCCGGTTTGAGTGTCGGCACAAGAAAACTGACTCTGAGCTCTGCGGTGAGGAAAGATTCTTTTCTGGGGACCCCTGCTTGCTGTTTTCTCCCTGCACCTTGGTCGGCTCATGTCTCCTTCTAGGAGCCTGGGTGCTGCTGTAATACGAGAGCCCACTGAATGAGTAGTTCAATAAATAGAAAGGAATTCGGCTTCCTGTTGAAAAGCGAGGTGCAATTTAATCTCTAGCCATATAAACGGGAAGCGGAAAGCTATTCCCGGAAGTCAAAGAACCAACTGCAAAGCTGGAGTCACACAGGCCCTGCTACCTGCAGACCAAGCTGGATGTCTCCTCATCTCCCCAGCAAAGCCCCAACAACATGGGAGCTTCTCCCAACCTCCGAGGGCCAGCAGAGAAAAATGCCTGAAATCCCCACGGTCTCCTCCTGAAGGGGCAGCTCCTGCAGGAATCTGAGTGTGGAAGGCTTAACCTGGTGGAGCTGCAAGGATCCCTGCATGTGACACTTTGTACCAGGGTGGGTGTGGAGGGAGTGGAGGGACACAGTAGAAATCTCACATCGATTTTATTCAACATTGAGCCAAATGAATTTTCTTCTTGGAAAAGATTTCTAAAATATTGATTCACATAGGAGGCAGAAAACGAAAACAACCCAAACCAAAGCCTGCCTTGCTGAATGACGCTTGTATAACCAGGAATTTACCAGTGTTGACAGAGGAGCTGGCAAGAGGCCAGGTACCTTTGGTTTCACGGGAAAGAGTTGCACAGAGCTTTAGAACAAGATCAGAATGGTAGAAAAGTTGATTCGCAAAAAATGAAAAAGGTGCAAAGTGATTTGCTAAGTAGAATTTTCAGTGGAAAAATGGAAGGGGACTTTATGCCTATAATTTCCTAAGCAGGAAAGAGGCCCAGTGACTGGTAGGAGGAAAAGCACCAGCTGACCACCAACTGGACTTGTCCCTTGATTTATTTCAGGGCACTGAGCTCAGAGCAATCATGTTCCAACACCAGAAAGCAGCCCTGGAAATTGCTAGAGCAGCCCCAGTGAAGACCTGGGTCCAACGAAGGTCCAAGGCCTGTGTAGCTTGGCTCCCCTCCTCCACACTAAATTCTATTAAACTGCAACTATTTCCCAGAAGGCTGGTGGCTTCTGCCAACCCCTGGCTACCTTCAGCTCCTTCACTGGCTTGCTGGTTGTGAGTGGAGGCAGACAATCAATGGCGACTCAGGCAGAAAATGAAGCAGTAGAATGTCTCCATGCAACTCCACGCCTGTCCCCGATCGCCTCCTTGAGATAGCTGTGAGAAGGCGGATAGGTCCATCAAACATAACCAACCCTGACTCTGTCCCTCCCTATCCTCTACTTCAACATTCCCCACTGTAGTAATGGCCGCCACCACAAACTCTGTCGCTCAAGTCTAAGGTCTGAAGGTCTCCTCTGCTTTCCTCAGATTCCACCTCCAGCCCATCCCCAGGATGTGTGGGCCTATCCTCCACTACACGTCCCAATCACAACTACTTGGCTCTGCTTCCACAGCTACCACCTGCTTTGCAGCCGCCATCTTGGCTTGGATACTGCAAGGCCCCTGGCTGGGTTCCCTGTGATTTATACTCCCCCCTCCAGCATCCTCAAGATCTAACCTTTCAACACTCACGAATCATCAAGCCTCTCTCCCACCACCCTGCACAGCGTCCTCAGTGTTCCTGCTTCACGGACCCTCTCCAGAGAATGTGAATGTATGGCACTTGTCCCCGCTGTGGACACTTCCTTCTCCCTGGAAAGCTCTGCCTCAGAAAATGCCTCAGGGTCCTCATCATCAGGCCTAGCACCTAATGTCATTTCTATCACTTCATCCTACTTTGATTACCTCAAGACCTCTTGCCGTGATCTGACATTTTCCTTACTTAGTCATTTTCTGTTTCCACGAGAGTTAAGACTTCTCTTTTCGCCACGACCTTCCGCCAAGGCAAAGAACAGTGCTTGCATGGGGTGCGTACTTAATAAGTACCCGTGACTGTATGACTGTCTTCCACCCCTTTGAGAAGTGAAGCTAGGTTACCCAAGATCCTATGCGCTGTACTGAGAGAGACTCGATAGTCATGGAAAGCACGTGTGACAAGAATTTGGCTGGTCACACCAGTGCGCTTGGAAAGGAACTCCCAAAAGGCAGCTTAATCTTCCTGAGCTCCTACCCAGCTGACCTCTCCTGGAACCCACTGTACTGTCTTACACTGTAACATGAGGAGTGGCCATGATCAAGACGATGGCGGGCATGATGGTGACACAGTAACGACAGTGACAATGACTGAGGTGATGGCGCCCTTCATGACGGTGGTGACAGTTGACATTTACAGTGTTCCTACTGGATCCTAGTCACACCACAGGCTTATCCTGAAAGCAACTAGTCGAGGATGCATTGTTAAGAGGTGAACTCACAGTGGCACAGGGGAAACAAGTAACTGGCTGGTCACAGGGGCAGTGAGTGGCAGGACTGATGGCCGAAACCACGTCTGACACAGCAATGTGCCGGCTTCTCCCTCTGGTCTGCACAGTCCAAGAATCTGACCCACGACACACTCACCCATCCATGCCGCACCAAAGATAAACCTTGAACCGACATCCTGGTTTCCCAGAAGGGACTCATCTCCCAAAAGTACCTCAGGACGTGACAGATATAGGATGGAAAATACGACATAACAGGCTACAAGTGCAGTTTACCTCTTAGTCACATTCTTTTTTATGTTTTTTGGGGTATACTGGGATCAAACTTAGGACCTTGTGCTTGTGAGGCAGGTGTGGCATCACTGAGCTAAATCCCTGGCCCCAGTCACATTCTTAAAGAAACCAGGAAAAGAACACAGGGAAAACCTGGAGCTTTTTTTCCCTCCATTTTTGTAGGCAGAAGGAGAGAGGAGAGTGAGACTGTGGAGCACAGAACAGATGCTGCTGTATTAAGTATTGTGAAAACGCGTTATCACTTCAGAATATCAGAATATTAATGTTCTATTTTCCTCTGTACACTGTAGCAAAAAAAAAAAAATAAGAAGAAGAAGACCCAGTTTCTAAACCACTAACCTTGTGAGTTCTTCCTGGAGCTGTGTGTGGTCAGGTGGAAAGAATTTCACCACAAACTTAACAACAACGTGCTTCGGCCCTAAGGGAGAAGAACAACAAAAGTTCAGTACAGCATTTATTGATCAGTGTTTCAAGTGCCACTAATAAACCATCTTTATAAGGCACAGTCTACACCAAATGACACATCTCCTCCGAAGCTCCCCAGAGTATGTCTGCCCCCTCCAAGCCACTACCTAACCAAGTTCTGTGACTTTTATAGCACGGAAAAACAGGTATCTGCTTTTCGAAAAACTGTCACAACAGTGCTACATGGAATGATCAAACCTTCCTCTGGGGACTTCAATTATACTCACTCTTAAAAAAAAGCCATCTGTCTCCAGCAATGCATTGAATTGGCAACTTTTATCCAAATATAGGCTTTGGATAATTTAAGGAGGTAATGTGTATATAAGCCAGTTATGCAGTTTATTCCATCCCACTGTCTAGAAGGAACGCTTGCTACCATGCTCATCAAACAAGTTTTAGGGCCCTGGTGCCCCCCTGAGCTCCGAAACACAAAGGAGAGGTGGCCCTGCCCATGTCACAGCCCACCAAAGCCTTCATAACTGTCTCAGCCATCTTTCCAGTGACTTATGACAAAAATCAGAAAGCAGATGGTGGGGTGGGGTGGGGGGAACAGACGAAGAATAAGATGGATAACTTTCCAGAATTAAAAGAGAACATCAAACAGATTTCAAGACAATAATTGGAGGTGTGAGTCAGGCTTTCATGTGGTGGTATAAAGGCCACAGTAAAATAACAACCTTACAGGTTCTGTATTCGGAATGACAGCCGTAAGGTGATGTTCCAGGAAATACAAAGTACAGCAATGAAATACTCTTGGCATCATCACTGGCACTGCGGGAGATGGAGCCCAGAGCCTCATGCATACTAGGTAAGCGAGCTACATCCTAGGTCTATGAAATCCAAATGTTAACATTAGCTTTTATTATGAAAGGAAAAATCTTTTCCTCTACTTTTTGTGATCATATACAAAATACAGCACTCGGAGAAGACAAGAAGGTACCACCCTGCTCTGGTTCCCACCTGATGACCTGCTGAACAGAGAGCTCCCACCACAAACGGTGTCCCCCTTACAGATCACCGCAGGGCCAGACAGCAGTCAGCAGGCTCTGGGTCACCACTGCCCGCTGCTCACAGCACTGTGACCCCAGCTCACGTTCAGTCACTGCCAGCAGGGGCCAGATCCCCCACGACACCCAGTAAACATCCAATAAAGGACGGCTCTCTCATTCTCGGCATCCACAACTGCTCAACTGAAATGACGGAGGACCAACATGAATTTCAGTTGCAGGAGGCCATACAAGCACCGTGTTGTGTGGTTACTACGTCCTCATAAACTGCTGCAAGTGCCTCAGTGGGGTTTCTTAGAAAAATGATCCCATAGGTACTGTGAACTTCAAGCTGAACGAAAGCCAGGTAGCTTTGGAGCCAGACTGGGTTAGGTCCTGAGGGCAGGAAATGGCCATTTGGGAACAGAGCTTTCAGCCCAAGGCAGAAAGAAGGAAGGAGGAGCCAGAGCGAAGCGTGGTGGAAAGGAAGACAAAAAGCAAGTGTTCTTTCTTCCTCCTCTGCTAGGCCCTCTTTAACCTTGTCTCTCCGTCACATCCTCAACACACAGTCCAAACTTCCTTGGGAGCCTCGCGCCAATCAGAAACACACAAGCAATGAGACACATGCGTACTTTTGAGCACCCTTTCCCCCAGACAACAAAACATTCTGGTTTACAGCCTCTGAAGGGGGAGAACAGAAGACCCACAATCAACTTTAGGAATACATGGCTCTACCTTTCTCCTTCAAAGGTGACAGTAGAAACGGTGGCACAGACAGACAAGCTCAATTATCCCGGGACTTTGTAACAGTTTTAAGTTGTTAATAAAAAAGGATACTTGGTTTTCCAGGCAAAGTTTTCGCAATCAATCTATAACACATGAAGATTGCAGAAGAAAACACTCTTACAACGTGTGGGTAAATGGATGATGGCAAACAATCACGGGTTAAAAAAGGAATCCCTGGCACTGGTGCTTTACAACAAAAGGTGTCTCAAAAAGAAACATGTCTGGCTCTGTATTTATTGGCTTTGTATTTATCACCACTGTTAAACATATGGGTATACTTACTTCGAATCTGTTTCACAATAGGTTTTAAGAGATCCAGCCACACCTACAAGGAAAAAGAGAACAGACTGAGACAAAACTTCTCAATGAAAGAGTGCAAGTATTTTGACACTTTATTTGAAGCTATTTTGAATCAAAACATCTTGGAGTATTTGAAGTCGTCTGTTGTTCTTTTCTTCAGAATGTCGTATCATACTTTGTCTACCACTTTTCTAGAATAGATCCTGATTTGCTGATTGTTTTGGTTCAGATCTAGAATGTCTCCCTAAAGCTTCCTGTGTTCTGAGGTTGGGCTTTCGGAAGGTGATCGGATCGTGGGGTGCTGGAGGAGGTGGGGCGTGCTCAGGAGAGGCCGGTCACCCGGGGGAGATCTGGAAGGCCTGCCTCCCTCCCCAGGCCTCTCTCTTGCTGCTCCCAGGCTTCTGTGACAACAGCAGCTTTCCACAGCCTCTCTGCCTTGGACTAAATCCTTCCAAAACTATGAGGCTAAATTAACTCCTCCTCCGTTAGTGAAGTTGTAGGTGTGGGGTACTGTGTCTCAGTGGCAGGAAAGTGAGTAAGATACTAATACCCTCCCTAGGCTTGAAAGTTAAATAATACCCTAGGCTCAGAGAAATAGTTAAGTTAGGAGTTGAGGATGTAGCTCACTGAGAGTGACTACTTAGAATTCATAAAGTCCTGGGTTCTAACCTCAGCACTGCAAAAAAAAAAAAAAAGTTATCAATTAACTAAGAATTTTTCTATACTCATTTGTACTTTTATCAGATTTACCTATTCAGAAAATATGTGAATGATTGGATACTTGACTACTGATTGAATGAAATATGCATGCTCCCTCTTGAAATAAAACACATATATTCAGTGAGAGTCTGTCTCAAAAAAAAAAGGCAGGGGGATGGATGGCTAGGACTAGGTCTGAATGGCTACCTCAATGTGAAGGCCATAGGTTCAATCCCCAGTGTGGCAAAACAAAACAAAATAAATAAGCAAACCAATACTATGTATAGTACCAAAAAAAAAAAAAAAACACGGTCCC